TGGGGGGAGGGTTTTTGTTCTTCTTGTCATAGGCATGCACTTCTACTCTCAAATCAAAAAGCCCACCGGCAAGGAATTGAGATCTGTAATAGAAATGTTAGTGTTGTTGAAATAGCATAGAAAGGATACTTACTCCGTAGGAGGCAAGATACAAGCGTCATTAGTGCAACCAGGCTTCAGGTATTGTCCTTCAGGATCAGGAACAAGCTTGTAGGCAGGAGAATGGCGGCCTGCAAGCACTGTCGAACTGATGAAACTTAAAGATAAAAGAGTAAGCAAACTAGTCTTCATGATGGATGCTGTACGATGAAAGCAGAAAAAGGACAAGGGAGAGATTCATCCCCTCTTTTTATGCAATACCAGTCGGGGTTTGAAAATAAAGAGCCAAATGCCTTTTGCAACACATTCATCAATGTAGCAATCAAAGGCAAAGACAAAATCAAAGAGCTCAAAATCCTCACGTTCATGCAAACAACGATTTGAATTGGCCGAATGGAGGCGCACGTTGTCAATCTTTTGAAGGGACCACTCTTCTTGGATTTCTTTTTAGGTGACAATGATTAAGACCGGCGATTGAATCCCCGGGAATAATGTCTCACAGTGACCCTTACCGGGTATCCGTCATGATGAGAGTCCCATCAGATAAAGCGAAGGGTATTTCTGAACCCTACATAAACAAAATGGCCAGAATGCGCTAAAAAAGGCATCTAAGACTAAGAATGGATCAAAAGGTTCTATTATGGTATGATGATGATGATACTGATGATGATGGTAATAGGATGATAAGAAAAAATGGCATTTCTGACTAACTAAAGGGTACATAAAGGGAGTAGATTTAAAAGTAAACCAAGTGGAGGGTGGTAAATGTCAAGCAAAAGAGAGTTACGAATTCCAAACCTATGGCAGCAGTTATGTTACACAAAGAAGTTGCTGCAATCAAATGGCAGCGTATCACCACGAGAGGACCCTGTTGACAGTGTGGAATAGAGGGATTCTTTAGCAGCAAAAGTGAACAAAAGGGAGGATGACCATCTAGCGAGATTGGATTGGTCCTAGATGCATGTCTATATCAGGAACCAAAATCGCTTTTGTCCATTGGAAAACGTGGTAACCAGAAATGTGGTCGGGTTAGATCTATGCATTAGCAAAGACCATGCTTATTGTCATCATCATCCCATTGTAGGGTAGCGTACACGTTACAACATAGATGTGTGTGTGTGTAGCAATGTGGGTTGGCGGAACGAGTCCGATCGAAAAGCTCGTTTGTGGGCGAGGAGCACCAAGGGCGGATGGGCGGTGGCAGCTTTTGTAATTATGGAGCTTTTGGCCCCCATTTTATTTTTAAAAGTTGCCTCTTTCTCAAAACCGAGATGGACAGCCTACCGTCAAATTTTACAGACAGCACAATGCAATGCATATATATCGACCGATACCCAGAAACAAGCACCTTTATGTTGTATGCGGCCGTGAACGCTCCAAGAAGCCCCCAAAAAGCGACCAATTGGAGTGGTATCAAAAATGGCAAGCCATTTAAGTAAATCAAACCTTCTTGGCATCAGTCGATAGATAAAAAGCATTTCTGAGTCTATGTCAAATTTGAAGTTGGGTTGTCCATCCCGTTCACAAGAAAAATGAGCTCCAAAAAAGTAAGACTTTTTTCCAAGGTCTGTCCTTTCTTCAAATGGCGGGGGTTGAAAATTAAAAATCAGAATCTCTTTTTTAAACTCATCGGTTTTGAACCCCAATTTTTTGTAAAGAGTTGCCCTATTTCTCAAAATAGAGATGGATAACCCACCTTCAAATTTCACATGGCACAAGATACAGTCAATATCTATTTTATGCTACCAAAAGTGAAGTACTCATATGCTGTATGCATCCGTGAATCACTACACAAAATCCCGCAAGAGCGACTGATTGGAGTGGCCCCTAAGGCGGCAATTGATTCACGAAACCACAGCATTTTCAAAGTAAATCAATAGATAGGAAGTCTATCTTTCTCTGTGCAAAATTTGAAGTAAGTTTGTCCATTCTGTTAAGAGGAAACCCCACGCCCAAGAATAGTGGCATTTTTTCATGATTGTCCGTCCTTCAAATGTCGGCGTTTAAAACTAGACTAAAACTAGTTTTTCTCCCAAACCTTTCCCTCCCCTCCTTTTTTGCTTCTTCATCCCTTTTTACAATCCCTTTGTCTCTTCCTTTATCTTTCCACTGGAGCGGCACCACTCATGAGGTGAATCTCCCAATAAACCAACGTTCATTAACACAGAACGGAAGGTAACTCTTTCCTTCCCATGATAGTCCTCTTCTCACCATGACTAAAATTTGCCTTTGCATCATTGCTCGTTTTTTTCATAATAGATCGGTTGGGATGGCAATGGATATAGGGTCTCTGGCATCAGGACATGGTGGACATGGACTTGGAGTAACGATTGGGCTCAAGGGATTACGAAAAACAGGGGGAAACCTGCACTCACTTTTCCATTGTAGATTGTGTAGCCATTGCGCTGCTATGCATCACTCTTCGTCTGCCCACTCCCCTTTGCCCACTAATACTAACACTTTTTGTGCCGCTGGCCAGCTCTCCCCTCCTTCATTCTCTTTGCCCTGACTCTAGAATAGTCTTTCCTGAAATACCATTGCAGCCCCCCTCCCTTATGTAGCTTGAAAATTATCTCAATCATCCAATAAAGCCTACTTTAAACCATTTCCATGACGACTGTCTCTATTCCTAGGCTCAAATTTGAGCGAAGGAACCGGGATTTGGCTGCTGTTGCTCTGCCTGGACTTTTGATTATGTGTACAATATGGACATTACTCTGTGTCAAGTGTATGAATGGGCAGTTTCACTTTTTGGCTTGACCGCTTTGCCTTTTGAACTCTATCTTCACAAGTACCATGTGCGATCCTCCTGTTCAGAAAACCAAAAAGCTTGCCCGATTTTTTCAAAGGGCGGTGTTTGAAAAAGGTATGGACCATCCTCCATGAAAAATGTTACTTTTTGTTTGACCTGACTTTTCTCGTGAAAGGGATAACAAACCTAATGACAAATTTTACATGGCAAAAGTAGTGTTTCTAATCTACTAAAGGGCTCTAAGGACATTGGGTTTCGGCTGTAGGGAAGATCGACTTTGGGGCCGCTGGAATTGGTCGCTGTTTAGGGACTTATTGTAGCGTTCAGAGAAGAATACAGTACAGGTATGCTTTAGTTTTGGTACCTTTCGATATATCTACATTTCATCCTGATCCATGAGGAGTTTGAATATGGGTTATCCATCTCAATTTCGTAAACAAGGCAACTCATCACAAAACTCACAACCAGAAATCGCAAAGTTTCCAAAAAAGTCAAATGTGCTCAAAGGCCGCCCGCCTTTTTCAAACTCCCGAATAGCAACCGATCAAGACTTGCATGTCAGAGCTTCCAAGATGGCTGGAACATATTCAAAACAGTAACGTCATGGAGATTGTTTCAAGTAGATTTTATTTACTCGATGGGACTATAGTTAAACTATATGTATGGCTTGCCTTGGAGTGACTAAACTAGTGTAATGAGCTACGGAATGAAGAAGGGGAGAGCCGGTCAGCGGTGCCAAAAGAATCATCGATAGTGTCCAAAAGAAGTAAGCTATGGAATGGTGTTATTCAAAAGGACAAAGGCTAGGCAATCTACAACAGAAAAGTGAGTGCACCTCAAAAAAGAAGGTGCGAGGGTTTCTCCACGTTTTTCGTAATCCCTTGCGTCCAATCCCTAATCCAACCACATAAGACCTGCTGCCAGAAAGTATATATCCGTTGTCATCCAATTCGATTTCTTAAGAAAAAAAGGAGCAAAAGGCAAATGTTAGTCATGGTCAAGGCAAAGATGGACAAGATGGTGAGAGGGAGAGAGTTACCCTGTGTTCGTCATTGAAGGCCGTTGTATAGAGTGCAAATCGTTCGCAGTGCGGTGCTGATGTCGATGGAAAAAAAGAGGTGATGAAGAAGCAAAGAAGAGGTGATGAAGAAGCAAAGAAGAGGTGAAGAAAACGATTGACAAGAAAAAGTCAACCTTTATTTCGAAATCGGAGTTTAAATACCTTGCTGGTAGAGAAAAGGACAGGACTCTGGTTTTATTTTCTCTCCTCCTTCTTTGCTTCATCATCACTTTTTACATATCCATTGTCTTTTTATTTATCATTCTATCTGAATGACACCACCTCTGACTTGAACCTCTCAATGGACCTCTCGATTAATCAACGTTACCAACACAGAGCGGAAGGTAAGTCTTTCCTTCCCATGATAATCTTTTTCTTACCATGACTAACGTTTGTCTTGTGCACCATAGCTCGGTTTTTTTCTAAGCAGATCGAACGGGATGGCAACGGATATTGACTCTCTGGCACCAGGACTGGGTGGGGCTGTATTAGATCAGGGATAGGGACTAAGGGATTACAAAGAACATAGGGGAAATCTTTGCAACTTCTTTTTTGTAGGTGCACTCACTTTTCCATTGTAGATTGCCTAGTCATTGCCCTTTCAAATAGCACTATTTAATAGCTCACTCCTTTGGACAAGTTTTCCCTCTCTTCATTCCCTGCGACTTTACATTAGATTAGTCATTCCATAGCAAGCCCTGTATACCACCCTGTCAGAATTAGCTTAGCCATAGCCTCATACAGCCAATAAAACTCGCTGGACATCTTCCTCATGCCATCAATTTGCCTTTCCATGACTACCTTTTGCACCTACTACTTTAAATAAACATTCAAGGCAGATTGTATTGCCATTGCTGTCACCATTACCCATTGTACAGCCCTTTTAATGGCATTTGCTGCCCGATTTCTTGTTTTTGGCAGCATCTTACGGCATGATCGCACATACTGCGTTCCAAATAACAACTACAGTGCGTTTTTCGTGCACAGGGTTATGTTTACGGCGCATACAAGCAGCTTTACAAACTTTTTGGATTTCAAACTCCGACGTTAAGCTTTATATACACCCCTAAAATTTTCAAAAAAGTTGTAGGGGACATAGTATAGTGGTAGTACGCTCGCTTCGCATGCGATAGACCGGAGTTCGATTCCCCGTGTCTCCATCCCTTTTGCAGTTTGCGAGCACCGGAGTTGGAAAACAACCTTTTTTTCTTGGAGGATGTATTGTTAAGAGCTGAGTATAGGAAGCGGAGTTGAATTAAGAAGAGACAAAAGTAAAAGAGAGGTGATTTATTAAAGATTGGAAGTCAGATCTATTTGTACTTGACATCCCACTGCTGAGAGTGATGTATATAAAAAAGATAAGAATGTACTGCTAATGAAGTAATCTGCTGTAAAAACCACATGGGAAAAAAGCATGATTATAGATGAAGTGTGTTAAGTGCTATTAGTGATTGTATGATACTTTTTCATACGAGAGACATGTACGTTCTTGAGTATCTTGCTGGATTCTTGATACTTGAGGTTGCAGCTTGACTTGGAGATTAGGCTTGTTACGATTAGAGGGCCATACCAATCAAACGCTAGTTTGCGAGGCTTGTTCTTGGTTGTGTGAGCATGGTTGAATACAAGGACGAGGTCACCAATCTTGTATGGGTTAACTTGATTGAGTTGGTTGGTGTTCTCTTTGAGTTGATCCACTAAGTCGAATGCCAAGTTGAGTCTATCTTGTAAGTCAATTGCATATTGTTGGGAAGGCGATTTGTAGTGATCGACGAAATGACCTTCTTGTGTGACAATCAGCGGAGTTCTTGGATTTCGTCCATGCGTGAGATAGAATGGTGTGTATTGCGTTGTGTCGTTAACGGTTGTGTTGTATACAAACTGAATGATACGTAAGTGCTGATCCCAGTTATCGGAAATGATGTCGTTGTTGGTGTAAGTGAGAATCATGTTTCGTAGAGTCTTCATGAATCGTTCCACGGCGCCGTTCGATGCAGGGTGATAGGCTGGTGCGAATAGGTTTTTAGATCCAATAAGTTTGATGACTTGAGTGCTAAACAGAGAGTTGAACGGAACACCATTGTCAGATAGGATTTCAGTTGATAGTGTCGACAGAGTTGATATCTGGTAGCGGGTGCCTGGATAGTGCATCGGGGGCCAAGTTCAGTTTACCAGGTGTGTATATGACTTTAAAATCGTAGGCTTGGAGGAGCATTGCCCAGCGCCATAATCTAGGTTGACGGTCTTCTTTCGTATTGAGTAGCCATTGGAGACTTGAGTGATCAGTGTAGACGAGGAAGTGGTTTCGTTCCAGATATTGGCGGTGTTTCTTGATACCCCATACCACGGCTAACGCCTCCATTTCTTGGATTGAGTAGTTTTGTTCTGGCTTGGAGAGCGATCTTGAGGAGAAAGCAAGCGGATATGGTTGACCATCATAACGTTGACATAGGATTACTGCTATACCGGCTTTGGATGCTGCATCAGTGTGTAGCTCGAATTGCTTGTGGAAGTCGGGTGTCTTGAGCGTTGGAAGTAAGCAGAGTTGTTTCTTGAGATTGTCGAATGCGGCTTGTTGTTCGGAAGACCAGGAGAATTCGACGGACTTGCTTTTGAGGCGACGTAAGGGCTCCACGAGAAGTTGATACTGTGAGATAAACTTGTGATATACGCCGGCCATACCAAGGAATTGTTCCACCTCATTGACATTTGTTGGCGGAGGATACTTAAGGACAGACTTGATTTTATCAGGGTTGGTCATTGTTCCATTAGGTGTCACTACAAAACCGAGGTATTCCACCGAGTCCATTAAAAAGGCACATTTTGATAGCTTGATTGATAGGTTTGCTTCTTTGAGTAACAGTCTATAGTGCGATGCTTACCACTACAGAAATCACAAATTGGGTTGCCATCTTTATCATATGCGCGGCGTTGTTGAATACCGCTAGGGTTGTGGCCAGGGTTTGCACCAGATTGTTGTTGATATCGACGTCTGTTGCGTGAGTTATGGTGTTGCTGATTGGCGCTGCGTTGCATATGATCAATATCCATGGGTTCGCTGCCCATGTTGTTGGACCGAGTTGTTGCTTGAGGGTCTCTGAGAATGTTAGCCTTTTCTTCCATTTGTATCGCTTTTTGAATTAGTTGACCAAGTGTTGCAGGGGTTGCTGTGTCTATCCATGTAAAGAGAGCCAATCTGAAATCCCGTTCGGCCAAGGATTGCAAGAACAAGTACATTTGTCGTTCTTCGTCGATACGTTCTATCAAGAGAGACGTTTGGTGTTCCCACTTTGCTGCGTAGAGACGTATCGATTCGTTTGGGTCTTGACGAAGTTCTGAGAGAGTCTTCATGATGCTTTTTTGTTCTTCATTTGCTGGTTTGCCGAAACGAAGTAAGAGTTGCTCCTTGAGAAGTTCCCAGTTAGTTCTGATTGTTGGAGGGAGTGTTGGGATCCACTGTTGAATGATCTTTGGCATAAATTTGATGATATGCGGCGCACAGTCGTTCATCGTGTGGACACCATGGATAAACGCTTGCTGTTCGTAGTTCTTGAACCAGATACGGAGAGAGCCATTTAAGTTGTAGTTGACGGAGTCGACAGTTTTCGCACGATCGTATTTGAGATACTCGAACCAATATTCGTTTGGTTGCATTACTGGAGTCTGGTTGCTCATTGTTGGAGACGTTGTTGTAAACGTAAAGTAGCTGTCTGTTGAATGCTGGGATTCTGTTGGTGTGCCGTAGTCAGTGCTAGGTGTTGACAGTTGTAGATCGTTGTAGATCGAGGTTGTTGTTTGTTGTTGGCAAAACTTTTTCCTGTGGAAAAATAGTTGCGGTTGTGAATGCGAGTGTCTTCGTTTAATGTTGCTGCGATGTAGGAGAGAAGACTGGTAGTCTCACCATGTATTGTTAAGAGCTGAGTATAGGAAGCGGAGTTGAATTAAGAAGAGACAAAAGTAAAAGAGAGGTGATTTATTAAAGATTGGAAGTCAGATCTATTTGTACTTGACAAGGAACGAATGCTGCTTTCTTTTTTTGACCATCATTACAGTCATCAAGGCATTTTGAGAAGTGTTACGGCTATTTTTGGTTGGTAATAGGTGGCTGGGCTGTGTTTTTGTTGCTTTAGATTGTTCTTATGAGTGAGCACCAGAACTTTTATGGTCAAAAAGTTCAATCATTAGTAATGGCAATGGAGAAAAAAAGAAAAGAGAGACTTGTGAAAAAGTCGGCGTTTAAAGAAAGGTACGAGTTTTGTAAAAGAGTCTTGATCTGCTTATAGTGATCGAATAGAGAGTCTCCAAAGAGTGATGATATGCTTTAGTAATAGAAACCAAGTGGAAATAGACGTTGATCTTTTCGAAAGGTACTAGGACGCTAAATGAGACTTGACTAAAGAAAAAAGTTGAAGAAGGGGAGAAAGGGGGGCTATTTATACGAAAATTGATGGGGGGCAAAGAGATACTTGAGAGGGAGAGATACTTGAAACGAAATGACACTTGGGATAGAAGATATCTGTGTTGAAAAGATATTTTTGGCATTGAGAACAAAGGAAAAAAAAAACACTCGGGCACGGCAGATGAAAAAAAAAGTTACGAAGAGCTCAGACCAGATCCGGGGAATGCTACAGACAGAATCATCCGGATAGAGCCAGCCTGCATGTCCTGAATTTTGCTGACAATAAGGACTTATATGGCGGGGGACTTTCTGAGTCCCTGACTTCAGTCCCGGTCATAGATGGGACTCAACTCGAAATGAAGATAAAACCGCCCCTGCCCACACACTCCTCCAACAATGTGTGCCGATGCACTCTAGATTTCAAACCCCGATTGGCTATAAGATATTTTTTTATGCCCGTCCTTCATTTTTGCTCCTTCTTCCCCTCGTCATCACTTTTTCGCCTCCACATTGTCATTCTCTTTTTTCCACGGCGACAAACGAACGAACGAACGAACGAACGAACGAACGGTAACTCTTTCCTTCTCACGTCTTGCTCATCTTTTGCTTACCATTACTAACTTTTTGCCTTTTGCATCGTTCCTCTTTCTTTTGACACTAGATCGGCTACGACGACGACGACGGCTATAGGGACGACGACGATGCTAATGGCGACTCCACCACTACTTCATGTCGCCCAAGAGGCTCTTTTTAAAATTTTCAAATGTAAAAAACATGGGGAAACTCTCGCAATTTTTTTTAGGTGCACTCCCATTCCATTGTAGAATCTCGTAGTCCAAGTTATTAATAAAAGTGTACCAATTCTTTGCCCATACCCTTCCACTACTATCTTTGATACTTTTGCACAGCTCAGCCGTCTTTGTCCGTCTCCATTTGCTGGGTTTTTACAGTAGCTTAGTCATTCTCATTACAACCCGTCACCATTTACACATTAGCTTAACTACGGCCCCAAACATAGTCTGTACCATAGCCCATTAATCCTATTGTACGAATAAAACTTTGTATGTATGCGAAGATAGACCTTACGATTATGTACATGTCATTAGATTCTTGCTTTACAACCAGTAAACCAA